GGCGTTTACAAAAGATTTGAAGAACTCTAAATTAAGGTTCTTGGAAGTTTTCCGTAAAACGATTTGAAGAACCTTATGAGTTCTTTGTACTGCGTTGTAAACCTCATTTCTAAGAATGTAGTTAACAACATTTTGGTGTTTTATTGATTAGTTTACAGTATGGTAACCTAGGCGAGGCAGGGGGGCAATTACCCAGCGCATTTAAGCTTAAAGGGGCGCCAAAAAATCAATTTTACTATAAAAAGTATTTTTTTTTTTTTATTCTATTGTAAAAAAGTTTAATTACTTTTATGTTTTTAAAAATTTTTGTCTTGAAAAAGATAATTAAGTAATAAAAATAAATACTAAATTTCAACACATAAATAATGTAAAAAAATTTTGCCTAAAATAAAAATATACTCGCTACAAATATACAAAATATAAAAATATACTTACTACACTACTTAAAATAAAAAAATACTTTAATAATAATTAATTATTATCGGATGAATCATTATTATTTTCACTACCCGATAAATTGGACTCTAAATAATCTTCATTGTCGCACATAATTCTATTTTCAACAAGCTGTGGTGGTATTATAGGTGGGATAATTAAATTCAAAACTTCCAACGGTAGTTTACCAGTTTTCTTACTTGACAGTTCTCTGTGTGAGTTGATGACAGGATCTGATGTTACTAAAAACATATTAAGCAAATCTATATTTGTGTAAATACGTGAATTTTTTCTTGTATGGTGTTCGCGGAATCGACGAAAATCTTTATTGCGGGCTTCTTGAGACTATTCCGATAGTTGTCTTATTGGAAGAAAGCATGTTTTATAACTTCCGTGCTATGTACAAGTATTTCGTGCAGAGTAACAGACATATAGTACCACCGATATAGATTAATATAAAGAGTTTTGGTTTCAGAACAAAGCTTTTCAAATTCATAATAGTAAATATCATAGCCAGAGGAAAATGTTCTTAATAAAATACTGAAATTTTCAATGAGATTGATGTCTAAACCCGTAATCTTGCCACTCAACTCTGCCTTCATAAAAAACCTGCGAGCTGTGTTCCTATAATTTGTGTAAATTCCCATCATTTGTATTCCCAAAACCAGGTTTTGGTTTATCTACAATAAGGCCCATATGCTTTTTAAATTTTTGTTTGATATCTTCTGAACGTTTTTGGACACTAGATTTATCTTCATCGCTTCTAACTTGCTACTTTTTTATATCTAAACGATAGCTAATGTGTAGCATGCACTCAAAAAAAAAAGAATTCACTCATGCAAAGTAGATAGACCAAAACCATAATGTTCTTTTAGTTCACCGTTCATCATTTTAGGAGTCGCACCACATATGTAACATTTTTGTTGAGAGCCTGTGTCAGTCAAGGCATTGCAAACTTTTCCATCTTCGATAGTATTAGGTCATGTTTAGCAGTATTTTGAAAATTCGTTGAGTCTTATAGATGTTGGAACAAGTTGAGAAACTTCTTTTAAAACTTGGTTAGTTTCTGTTGTAGTTAAAAGATTTGTTTTTTTTGAAAAAATAAATTTAATTGCTCGGCAATAAAGCGAGGGTGAAGGTCGTGGATTTTGCCAAATAATATTTTCAGTCCCAACGCCAAATAATAGACTCATCCCAACGGAACAAAAGAAAATACAAACTGAAACTCATCAGTAGCATCAGCGTTTTTAAATCTCTGTTGGTATGTTTTGTGACCGGAGCTTTCATCACATCCTCATTTGCTGATTAGTGTGAATGGCATAGTAAAAGTAATACTTTTAAGAACATCGCATTGGGCTTCAATTAGGCGTTCAGTACATTTATCAAGTATAGCTTGTAGACTAATTTCGGCACGTGTTTCTGTAACAGAATTATGTTCATCTAATGGATAACATAACTTTTTCGACTTGCATTGACTATAATAAGATGAAAATAATATATGCCCTGCCTTTAAAGACCACTTTCTCGTCTGTTTATAAAAATGAATTAGAAGCAAATAAAAGCATCTAACTACAGACCGGTCTCGTTAACTTCAATACCAAGTCAAGTATTGGAAAGAATAATAGCTGATTGTATCATCGAACACCTCACAAAAAATAATCTACTTTCAAAAAAAAAAACATGGTTTATAAAGATCAAAAGCTATATAACAAATCTATTAGAATATCTAGATATTTTAACAGATACGTTTAATACTGAATCCGGTAGATGTATTGTAAACAGACTTTAAAAATGGTTTTGATAAAGTTTTACATAAAAAGCTATTATCCAAGTTATTGACTTTTGGTATTTCTGGTAAACTTCTTAAGTTGATAGTCTGCTTCTTAGCTAATAGAAAACAACGAGTGGTTTTAGGTGGAAGTGTGACAGATTGGATTGATGTACTTAGCGGTGTACCACAAGAGTCTGTTCTAGGTCCTATCCTTTTTATGGTATTTATAAATGATTTACCAAAGAAGTTTATAAATGATGATAATAAGATAATTGCGTATAAGAGGAGCAAAACATCGAATGAAACCTGAATTGGTCAGAAATTGTTAGAAAAGGCAATATTTTTTCAGCAATAGGGCCGTTGATGGATCTACAAGCAGAATTCATTTAATCTAGTACAGTTAAAAGCTTCAAATCAAAGACTTAGATGTAATTACAAACAAGAGAAAAACCAAGAAAGCTTATTATTAACATTTTATTATTTAGTAACTGAATTAACTTGTTCATTAATTAGTTTATACCGTCATAGATATTGCCTAGCGCTTTATCTCTTCAGCATTAACTATTATTATTATTATTAAATAAATTTAATTTAAAGGTAAGAATGAAGAGCGGAATTTTAGGATACCTTAGGGATTAACAGAAATAGAAACGAATGTTTAGAGTAGATTTAGACTAATATGAGCACCTTGGCAATATGAGTATACTAAAAGATTTCTAAGACGTAAGCAGTGAAATTAAAGTTGCTTTGTATTTTTGAATCGATTTTAGGTGGTGCCAACAGAAATCAGTATAATTAGCGTAAATTTATATGCAGTTATTAGCAGCTCTCATCTAATAAAAACGCTATTAAATTTTTTTCGTTGATATATCACTAAATTTTTTTCGTTGCTAATCACGTTGTTAAATTTTCTTCGGTGTTAATCACCCATGAAGATATCTGTGGCGCGAAATTTTTATTCTAAAATAATAAACTTTATTTTTTATATAAAAAAAAGTATGTTCGCCAGAATTGCATAGAAATATTTAGTTTTGATTTTATTAGAAGATGCTAATTTTTTTTTTTAATTTAATATTTATTTAAAATTTAAATTTTTAATTTATTTCATTGTTTAATATTTTTACAATAATATTTTTTTTTTTTAATTTTATAAATAAAAAAAATTTAATTTATTAAAAAAAAAAATTAATTAATTTTGTAATAATTTAATGTTTTACTTATTTATTACTTATTATTATATTTATTGAAACTTAACGTATATTATAATAAATTAGTTAGAGTTTGTCAGGCTAGTACTTTTTTTTTTACTTAATCTTATTTTTAGAGCTATATGCTCATAGTAAGTATGTAGTTAACCTGACCAATCGTGGTAGTTCGCGAGGCCATTAGATTATTGAAGTTTGTGACTGGAGTCTGTAGCTGGAGTTTATAACTGAAGTTTGTGGACCAACGAATCATGTGACTATTAAAGTCTTATGACTATTGTCTTTATTCATTCAAGAGTCTTGTTGAAAAGAGTATTTTAAGTCAGATTTAAATACTGTTAGCTTTTGTCTAAAAAATCAAATTCTAGATGCAGACATTTTGTATGATTTTTCTTTAATTTTAACGTGTTTTAAGTCAAACATATAATATATATTTTATTGAACATAAAAAAAAAAAATTTATAAAAAAATTTAGTAAACAAGGATCTCAATTTAAGATTAAATTTAATGGTTTATGCATAAATTTAGCATACATGAATCAATTGGAAAACAAATCACTTTAAATACACATGTAATGGTAAAAATTTAAATACTTTAAATACACATGTAATGATAGAAAATTTAAGTCAGATTTAAATACTGTTAGCTTTTGTCTAAAAAATCAAGTTCTAGTTGCAGACATTTTGTATGATTTTTGTTTAATTTTAACGAGTCTTAAGTCAAACATATAACAAATATTTTTTTAAACATAAAAAAAACAAGTAATGGATAAAAAATTTAGTTATTATACAGTTAATTCTTTAACTCCATTTCGCTTTTCGCTTGTACCATTAAAAAAGTAAAATTACCATTTTACTTTTTCTGCAGCTTTATATCAAGATTTATCTTTGAAAAACTTGTATAAAATTGATTCAAAACCGACCACTGATCTTAAATAGATTTTGAAAGAGTAGATGTTAAATGTGAAAATAAGAAATACAAAAGCAAATTCTTTTAATCATAAAAATAAAGAATGTAAAAAATATTTCATGCTTCATGCTTTACTTTAACAAAGAAATTGCAAAATTTGCAAAAGAAGAATTTGCAGAAAGTAAAAAAGTAGAAAATTTGCAGCTCCTTCTGTTGATAAACAACGTCAATTATATTTAAAATTAAATTAAAAAAAATTAAATGTTTGAAAAAAATTACTGCCCTCATCTTTAAAAATAATTACTAAAAACTTTCTTTAGTTACAAATTAGTAATTACTTTTAAAAGTAATTTAGAAGCATTTATACTTAAAGTAATTAATTTAAAAAAGTATAGATATCATAAGATACTACTTTCAGTAAAGTGAACATCTAACAACCAAATAAAAAGTAAATATTTATTTAATAAAAATATTTGTATCAAATACTAAATTGTAAAATTAGACAATACGCATGTTTGCTTTAAAAAAGTTTCTAAAATAACGAAATATTCATATTTGATTTATACAAAAAGAAAATGATTTTTGTCTCAGAAAGAAATTTTATTTTAAAGATGTCTAACCTTAACTAGAGTCTTAACAATTAGTAACGAGCAATACAACTTTTAAATGTTTAAATATTTTAATATTCTATAAAATGTTCATATTTAGTGTTTCGAAGAAATGAGTTCGGAAAAATATAGAGGGATTTTGTTACAAGTTGCGAGTAAAATGATGGAAAAAGACATTGAAGCAATAAAATTTTATTTCCAATATATTGGCGATGGAGTTCTAGAAAAAGTTAAAACTCCTATTCAATTGTTCCAAACATTAGAACGTCATATGATTCTTGGCGAAAATAACTATAATAAATTTATCGAAGCACTTAATCAAGTTGGAAGAAATGACTTAGCTAAACTTTTTTCTGGTGAGTTTAATATTGGTAGTTTATTTATGTATTGAATTCATATGTTTTTAACATCTGTTAGATTTAGCTGCTTCTAAATTGTCAATAAGGACATCATACGTAAAAAAACAAACATTCTTCTTTTTTTTTTATTATAACTTTTTTTTTGGTTTTTACATAAACTACACCTCCCTTTCACAACAAATAAAGTTTAATAACAAGTATACATATTATAAACAGAAAGGCGCTCAAAGAAGATATGGACAGCAAAATAACAACCTAATCTTTTTATAGAATCCCTAATATTAGCAATAATAGGGGCTCAATAATATTAAAATAACAATACTATTAAAATATATTAAATAAATTAAGTAAAAATTACAAGAACAAAAGAGTAAAAAAGAAAATACAATATTTAAAAATGCAAATGGTGAAAAAAGAATATTTAAAAATACAAACAAAAATTTATTATAAAGAAATAAAGATTTGTATCGTCATTAAAAAGTTCTGTTGAATATTATTTTTCAAATATTATGCTAAGGTTCCAAGAAACAACTGGTAGCAATTCTAAGCTAAAAAATAATGTTCATTAAGTTATTTATTTGTTTATTAGAAACAACCTTGGCACTAGACTTAAACTTAAAAATCAAAAACCAAATTTTCAAAATCTTCTAGTAGATTTCAGTTTTGTCAATAATAGACGGGTAACTAAAATTAAATTAGTCATAGAAAAAAATATTACTACAAAAATAAATAAATAAAACTTCATTCTGTGGAAATACAATTAATACTGTGTATTAGTTTTCTAAAACTAGTAATAAGATATAATAAAAGTTTATTAAATTTGATATCTACGTTTCTTACTTGAAGCAATTCTTGAATCTTGAAGCAATAAATTTGGTTGAAACAATAAAGTTTATTGAAATATACTTAGAAAATGTAAAGTATACTATTCTTCCAAAAAAAAGTTATTATGCTTGTAAGCTACGTAATTCATATAATTATAAACAATCTGGTGCACAACTAGCTTCTATGATATCCGCACAAAGTTGAATATCTGAGTATAAATTTGTTTGCCCATCCTTTAAAAGAAATTATAATATTCTATCATGAACAAATTGGTATAAAATTGTGTGAGTATCTTGTTACTGCCAAGGTTCTTTTCATAATAAACTTTAAATATAATGATGATCAAAATTCATTGATTTATAATTTATAAGCTAAATGTTTTTAAAATGGTTTTATAAAGTTCAGATACTTTACCAACATTTGAAAATTTTTCAGTCACTTTTTTTTTCAAACTAGCTTATGCAAAATATTCTTTTTACTGTATCGCAGAAGCTTTTAGAAAAAAAAAAAAAAATCATTCGGCATCAATATCAATATTTTTTTTGAGATGGAAAAGATTAATAAAATTTTCAAAGTTTTTTTTATTGTGGTACCACATGTAACAAAGTATGTTATACTACTAATTTGTTGATTGTTCGTCTTAATGAAAAAATAAGCTGCTTCATTTTTATATAAAAGTATAAATTATGTTTAGCATTATCAGAACATAATCTAAACAATTAAGATATCAGTGCATCATTTATAATGAAAAAGCAAAGTGTATTTTTTTATTTATTCTATTGATAATTTTGCATATTTTCCTGAATATTAAGTGCTTGGCTGGTTTACATATTTCTGATTTAGGCTCTGGTGTATAATTAGTAATGTAGCAACTTCTAGTTTCTTTTGTCACAGTTTTATGATTTTCTTTATTTTGTTTTTTCTAAAACTACCTGTAATATTATCATGCGAAAGAACTAAAGTTTCATCTTTTCTACCATCAACAAAAATTTTAGTAATTATAATTCTTTATACAGTATATTTTTTCCTCTACTTTTGAATACTTCATAGCATGCTTTTTGACACAAAAAACGACCATGATATCAGAAACCAAATTTTTTTAAACTTTGACAAGTTTCCTTACCATTATTAAATCTTTCAATAGACCATTAATTATAGCAACAGTATCAGTCTATGACACACCAGATCTGACAGAGACAATGACAGCATTACAAATATCAGGTATTTTCACCTAAGTCTTGCCTAATCAATTGACTTGCGCAAGTTTTACCATCCAGGTTAAACTCTTCCAAAGTTAAAACACTGCTTTTTTTTCCCGCTGTTTTTTAAGCTCTTTTTAAAGTTTAGTTCACATTTACAAAGGCAATGTGCATGTTCATCACAATATCCTTCTTTCTTGGGCATCGTTCTCACTGCGGTAGCTAATTATACAATTACAAAAAACAATTTGAAAGTTTATCAAAATTTTTTGTTTACCAGTGTTCTTGTTTGAGCTCTGTGTCGAGCTGTTAGAGAAAACCAACCTCTATTGAGTCAATTACTGAGAGAAAATTATTTTTATTTTTTTGCATTTTGAAAACAGTTTTTCTCTTAGAAATACTTGAGATTTTTACTCTATGCATAAGCCAAGCAATCCACGCTTAACAAGCAATCCACGCTTAACAAGCAATCCACGCTTAACAAGCAATCCACGCTTAACAAGCAATCCACGCTTAAAAAGCAATCCACGCTTAACAAGTAACAAGCAATCCACGCTTAACAAGCAATCCACGCTTAACAAGCAATCCACGCTTAACAAGCAAACCACGCTTAACAAGCAATCCAAGTTTAACAAGCAATCCATGCTTAACAAGCAATCCACGCTTAACAAGCAATCCACGCTTAACAAGCAATCCACGCTTAGGGTAAACTGACCAAATTCGAGCCAGTGACCAAATTCCAGCCACATTTTAAATTTATTATTTCTGTCTTGTTTTCTGCTTTATGTTTGTAAATGCTACTTTTTTGAGACTGGTATGAATTCAGCCAATAAAAAAAAGCATTGTTATAGTTGGTGGCTGTTTATAATAGAAGTAACATCATAAAAAATATTTATCTCAAAAAAGTACTACTTTATATCTAAAATATCATGTAAGCATCCAGTTTGAAGCTTATAAATATTTATTACTTAACGAAATGTTAATTATTTTAAACTATAAATATATTTTTTAAAAAGACAAATTTAGCTTTACAATTATGTTGAGTCATTACTATAGATTGTATTTCTTAATTAATTGCACCTGGTAGAAAGACCAAAATCCGGCCAGGTATAAACCTTATTCCGGCCAAGGCCGAAATTAGGTTCACGAGTGTCTAAAAGTAATTCATACTTGTATGATATTTATATTATTAGATTTTATTCTTTCAATATAAGTACTTTATGTTACATTTATGTCCTAAAAGTTACCAATCTTAAATACTTGCACTTATTTAGTTAAATATTTATATAATATTTTTAAAATTTGAGGATGATGACTTAAAAATAAACAAAAGTCTAAATAATTGAAAGATATTATATTGTTTCATGTAAATTATTACTTATAAATGAAATTATATTAAAAAATAATCTTTAATTGAAAATTTTAATAATTTATAATATAAAGTTTTCATTTTAGAATGGCTGATAATAAAAATAAAATTTATAATAAGAAACAATGTCATCTAACTCGAGATAAATATATGAAATATAAAGAGGAAGTGTTACTTGAAGCTATAAACAGTGTTATTAGTTCACCTAAAATGTCTGTTAGAGCTGCTGCTAAAGTACCCCGAGCAACTTTGCAGAGCAGGATAAATGGAAAAGTTGAGATTGGTGCAAAAGCAGGAAGAAAAAGTTTAATGCCGCTTGATCTTGAAAAAAAGTTACTCGATTTTGCAGACAACAGAGCTAGGATGGGCATTGGTTTTCGAAAAGAACAATTCTTGGTATATGCTGGCAAGCTTGCCAAAAAATATGGATATTCTTTTAAGAATGGCAAACCATCTAATAAATGGTGGCGACTACTTAACAATCAACATAACAAAAATGTAACTCTTCGACAACCAGAATCAACAGCATCAGTTCGTCATCAATGCATGAATCTGATAAAAGTGGCAAATTATTTTACTGCACTTAAAGAAGTCATTAAAGACTGTCAGCCTGAGGTAATATGGAACATGGATGAGACAGGACTGCAGCTAGACTTTAAGGCGCACAAAATAGTTGCTGCAAAAGGTACAAAATATTTACATATGAGAACAAGTGGAAATCGAGAAATGATTATTTTAATTGTTTGTGTGAATGCAGCAGGAAGAGCCTTACCACCTCATGTGATTCCAAAAGGAAAGACATTCAAATCCCTTCAAAGTTTTCAAGTTCTAGATGCCCCTGAAGGAACCAACTGGAGTCCAAGTGAATCTGGATGGACTAAACAAGGGATTGCAAAACTATGGTTTGAGCTTACATTTTTAAAAAACATTGGACCACAACGTCCATAAGTTTTAATTTTAGATGGCCACGATTCCCATAATTTCGTAGAGTTAATAGATATGGCCATACAAAACCGAATTGAAATTGTTGAATTACCTGCTCATACAAGCAATTGGCTTCAACCTTGTGATCGAACTGTATTTAAGCCATTCAAAGTTTCATATAATAAAGCAGCCCAGGGTATGATATCTAATCACCCTGGGGTTATAATAAACAAGGCCAATTTTACAGGACCTTTAACCAAAGGCTGGAATAAAAGTATGACAAAAGCTAATATTGAATCTGGCTTTAAATCATGTGGAATCTTTCCATATAAACCTTCAATTATTTCAGCTGAAGCTTACTTGCCAAACTATGTGTATTCTGAAGACAGGTTAATGACTAATCTCTTTGATCAAATTAAAACAGTTGATAATACAACAATAGTTAAGCAGATCAAGCAAACAACAGACAGCACAAAAGTACTTTTACCAGATATTGAGTTGGAACAACATCTAATTACCAACCCAAGATTTGCTGTAGCAAATGATCACCACTATTTAGCTGAACCAATAACCGTAGTAGAACATAGGAGTGATGATTTAGTGGAACTAAATATGAAAACTATAGAACTAAAAGCTGCAAGTAATAAAGCTACTAGTAAGTTTCAAGACAGCTTTAGGAT